CACTCGACGAAATAAAACGACTGAACAGGCGATTAAGGCACCCGAGCACAGTGATAGGGCGCGTGTCGCCAATGGCACTCGCCTCACGACCCTTACGCAATAGTACGAGTTTGCCATCAGGCACACGAGATGTCGCAAAGCAGGTTCAGGTAAGAGTTTGAAGTCCTCAGAGCTCCAACCGTCAGCTCCACGGGCTTTGTTGTTGGGAAGAGTCCGGATAATATGGATCCATTGATTGATGTCATGCCAATTGATGCTAATCTTTGGAAAATCAACAGCTAGCTCATCGAGAATGCGATCCGCCGCATCCCAGTCCTTGGTGCGCCAGTCCTGGAACGAACCGTCTCGACCCCAAATCGGCCTCCAATAGTCATCCACGGCTGTGGCGAGGTCTTCAACAGTCTTGATGACACGGGTGAAGGAGAAGGTGCCGGCGGTAGGAGCGACCCCATCGAGAAGCTGGGCATGTACCACAGGACCTCTGACTTCGGTAACAAGCAGTTCAGCCTCTTACGCCATCAGGCACATCAAGCTTAAGCCTCAGTGTACCTTTAGGGGAACGAATTGTCCTGGCATTAGAGCTACAGGCTTGCAGAACCCACGTGACCGGTGGCAAAGATTCGCCTTTGATGGCACGAAAGTGATCTCGCAAGCCACAAGATTTCACATCGTGATCGGTGGCGGCCTGGCGGGCCGCTCTCCTTGCTCTGTTAGCCGCGCTTACAACCGAATTGGCATCTTCACGTGCGACGGCTAATAGCACGTCAAGGTGGGGAGCGTCAGGACATTGTGTCGGATACACAATCATGTGTGCGTTCGAGGCGAGCCATTTAGGCCACCCATGTTGGTACACGGGTGCAACAGTGATGGCATGCCAGAGTTCTTGCAAGTGTAGCCATCTCCTGTGACTATCATGCTGATTCCAACCATGCGAGTCAAAGGCACGTTTCATGGCCAACAGGGTGGACAACCTACGGACCTGTTTCACACGCTGCTGTGCGAATATAGAAGTGCATGCAACCGGGGGTTGATAATCATCCTGCCGGCCTGAATCAATGCGCTTGTGGGATGGTTCGAACGCAAGAGGCTCCCAACGGCACCTACCACGGTAATGCTTGGGCAGACATCGTCCAGTGTGGCGCTGATACAAGGCGCCCACCGATTGCTCGACACATTCAGCCCACAATCGCCACACATCAACAGTAGCTAATGCCGGGTCCTGGATGGATTCATCAAGAAATAAGAGGTCGGCATTTTGCTAATACACAGCATCAAGCTCGGACCATGGCAGGGTCAGGTCTGCCCAACTACTAGGCAGACTCCACACAAAATAGTCAGGTTTAGATTGCGGCACTTGAAGGTGAACGAAAAGGGGAGCATGATTAGAGAGCCTGAGATCGGAAGGATGTTCGGTAATCACATCATGATGGGTGTAAAGGCTGGTAGGATTAAAAACAGAGAGGGTAACATCCTGATTGACCACAGCGTCGGCGCCCGGAGGTTCGGGATTTGCAGCTTGGCCTATACATACTCCCCTAAGTGCATTATAGTCATCGTCCGTCTTTCCAGTCTGCATGACAAGCAGAACCACGATGCGCAGGCACAAGTTGCAAGATCTGAATTTCACAACAGGCATGGGATTTAAACACTCACGCGAACCCATAAAAAATAGTTGACGCGCAACGGCTGATTCCGTTGCCAAAACCGTCAACCACGCATCTCGTCATCCTCATCCTCGACATCACGAACACGCTTGGAAGGCGGACGAGCCCCTGAAGCAGACATCTCCACCCGGAGAGATTTCAGCTCATCAAATCCGTCCTTCATCTTGCGTTCTTGCTGGGCGACACATTTGCGTAGACTCTCGTCGAATGAGATGTCAAGCTTCTTGACTTGCTGATGCACTTCGTTGACATCCTTCTGGACAGCATCTTGGCGCTTTTCCACGCTGGACATGGCAGTCCTGAGTTCCACAAGATGTTTCTCCTGCTGATTGACCCGTTGTTCCAGCTGCGTAGACGGTGGCGGGGTCGCCTTATCAGAGTGCTTTGCTGAGCTCGGCAAGGCCTCGTCCCCGGAAAGGACGCGCTGGACCCCGCCGCAACAGGCGAAACTGAGCGCTTGCTTCCTCGATCGCTATGCGCCAAGGAAGCCTTTGTCAATGCCGCAGCTTTCTTCCGCTTGCTCATGACACTACTCGAGGATGAGACACTTTGCGCAGAGTGATCACTTGAGGCCTCCTCTACACCGCGGATTTCGAGCTTTCCCAATCCTGCCCAACATAGACGGCTTCGCCGTCACGACAACCGTCTACAGCTTGCTGAGTGTCCTCAGCAAGGTTCTGCACATAAGCCGCTCGGAGATGGAATCCATGTCCGCAAAGGAAGAGGCATAGCAGCGCCACTGCTCAGGAAGCTCTTGTGCCATGCTTTGTGGAAGCGGAAACTGCCAATGCCAAAGCGGCGCAGAGGAGGGCAACTCAGACTGCCAAAAGTTGTCCCGAAAGGCCGACATGGTTTCGTCTGGCTCCGGAGTAGGACTCACCAAGCTCAACCGCTAAGAGGTAGACCCCCGGCGCTGCCGCAAGGGCTTCGCCCATTTGCTCGACATAGCCCGTGGCCGTTCCAGTGACATCGCTGCAACCTAACAGTATATGGAGTCGCACGTCCCGCGCCAGCGAACGCCGAAGCTCTAAGCTCTACCTAACCTTGGCTCTATGTAACTTGGCTCTATGTAGCTTGGCTCTATGTAACTTGGCTCTATGTAACTTGGCTCTACGTAACTTGGCTCTATGTAACTTGGCTCTATGTAACTTGGCTCTATGTAACTTGGCTCTTTGTAACTTGGCTCTATGTAACTTGGCTCTCTGTGGCTCTATGTAACTTGGCTCTATGTGGCTCTATGTAACTTGGCTCTATGTAACTTGGCTCTATGTAACTTGGCTCTATGTAACTTGGCTCTACGTAACTTGGCTCTACGTAACTTGGCTCTATGTAACTTGGCTCTATGTAACTTGGCTCTATGTAACTTGGCTCTATGTAACTGGCTCTATGTAACTTGGCTCTATGTAACTTGGCTCTATGTAACTTGGCTCTATGTAACTTGGCTCTATGTAACTTGGCTCTATGTAACTTGGCTCTATGTAACTTGGCTCTATGTAACTTGTCCAAGGGCTCCGCACGGAAGAACCCTTCCCGATGCTTTCGGGAAAAGGATGGAGCCGACCGAACAAGAGGCACCGGAGGCGCAGGAGGACGCTGCGCCGGAGGCACCTCACGCTGCGCAGGAGGCACCGCACGCTGCGCCGGAGGCACCGGAGCCGAAACGACGGGGCAGACCTCCTGGCAGCAAGAACAAACCGAAGAGTCAACCCCACAAGAGCCCCCAGTCCCTTTTGTCGGACTGTGTGGCTGCTGGGTCCCGACAATCAGCTTCAAGCGTGATTCGTGTCCAAAAATACGGACCCCGAAGATTAGGAAGGTTTAGTACAAAGCGGTAGCGTCAAAAGGACTGGGACATCGCCCTCGTCTGAAAAGCAAGCTGGCATCATCCCGCCAAACCCGAATATTGGGCAGCTGTACAAGCACATGCAAAGATATCGGGCGGGAAGGCTGGGCATGACGAGCTCTTACTCTTGCATCAAATTTCGGACTTCAGCAAGTGCCCACAGCTGTACTTGGAAAGGCAGGGGGCCCGGCCATGGGATAGCCACCAGATGGCTTGTAGGTGGGAGAAGCCGCCTGAGCGGGTCTCAACTCGTAGCTGGCGCAGGCCGAGCCAGACGTCAATGGCCGGCTCAAGGGGCTGGAAAGCAGGCCGGCCGTGCGCAGTCCACCGCACGCTGGCGGAGGACAGCGCGGGTGTTTTCAAAGGACATGGCCTGCCCCAGGCGGTCGGTCTCGATTGCCGCCAGTTCGCCCGCTGCGCGCAGCCAGGGCCCTACCCAGGACAGCGAACACTTTCGGCTGTGGGCCCCCACCCGCCCCCAGAGCCACGGCAGGAACTGCAAGCCTTGCTCAGCGCAGAGCTGAGTTGAGGTGAGCACGCTTGCGGGCCTTAGCTGGCCCCACCGCCCAGGCGCCCTCTTGAATGCCCCAGTTTGCGACCCAGATGTCAGCAGGGCGCCGTCCAGCAGGGTTGGGCATCCCAGTCTCTGGAGCACCGTCGGCGTCCAGCCAGGAGGAAGGAGCTCCACGCGCAGCCCTGCAGCTTGGGCGCGACTGGCCAGGACAGTCCGCAAGCGGTTGTGTCGCTTGGTGCCCCCCCGCAAGTGGTCGCCAAACCTGTCCGCCACGCCGTCACAAAGGGGCAAGGCCCATCGGCGGCGGTCACGGCAAGGCGAAGACGCATCTGCACCATGGTCCGGAAGAGGAGCGCGTTAGCGTGCAGGTCAAGGGCGGCGTTGGGCACGGCCTAAATCCACGCCCAGCCAGCAGCAGCTTGAAGTGGGCCCTCCAACCCTCCTGGCCAGGCACGGGCGTTGAGAGCTGTTCGACCATGGCTCGGCCCAGCGCCTGTGACAGCGAACGCTGCGACAAGGAAGGCGGCGCTGGGCCCAGGTTCTGATCAGGCAGACTCACGCGGTCGCGTGGCAGCAAGTTGGCGTTGAGGGCAGTCAAGGCTTCGTTGGTCAAGGGCCAGGACGCCCGGTAGGCCGCATCCAGGGCGCAGCACTGGGCGCGCACAGCGACGACAGAGGCCGTGTAGGCCGCCGCGTTGTGCCGGGCTGCGCTGCGGAGGCCAAAGCCGCCCATGCTAGAGCTCAAGCTGGCTTGCTGCGACGCCCGGGCGGGCAAGGGCCCGGTGCAAAGCTCCTCCAGACAGGCCTGTACGGCGGTGTCGAAGTCCGCAGCTGCCAAGGCTTGCAAGCCGGGCGGGGTGACCCGACAAGCAAAAAGCATCCTGCAGAAGGAGGCGCAATGGCGCAGCAGCAGTAGGCCAGTCTGCGGGTCCGGGAACCTAGAGCTTGCAGCAATGGGCGGGCCCGGTCAACCCGGCGCTTGGCAGTGAAGGCGTTGCAGTAGTCCTTGTCCCCAATGCGCGCGCCGAGCAAGGAGGTGGCCCCAGAGTCCACTTCGGACACGGCGCCTGCGCATGCAACCAGTTCACACTTGGAGGGGTTGAGCTGAAGGCCGGCCTGGTGCGCCACGGCCAGTACGGCGCAGGGCCGAGGCCACGTGGCGGCAGTTGCCGGCCAAGCAGCATCCAGAGGTCTGGGCGGGCGTGCGGCCCCCCACCCTCAGCGGCAGCACGAAGAGCAGGGTGGAGGGCGACAGTGAAGAACAGCGGCCCCAAGGGGTCCCCTTGTTGAACCCCTGCCACATGCCCCTGGCAGAGCAACCTCGAAGGCTCGCTGTAGCACCACTCAGCAAAAGCTGCCAGGCCAGGGACCAACTGCAGCAGCCCGGTCAACCATGTTGAAGGCGTTGTGGAAGGTGGTGTGGACGGCCGCCTCCGCACCAAGGGGCGTGGCCACGCCAACCTGGAGCGGGCAGAAGTGGGCCTTGGCATCCTCCCGCACCGCTTCGCAAAGACATTTGCCCACCAGCCGCCGCAGCGTCGAGCCGGAAGCGCCGTTCACCCGCCTCTTTCTCTTCTACGACCGGGCCGCAGAGAAAAGCGCGCTGCCCTGCGTGGCGGAGCACTGGTCCGAGCCCGCGCGCGCCGTGTCCCGCTGCGCCTAGAGTCCAAATTCGAAGCCGAGAAGCCGGAGCGATGCCTCCAGTAGTGCATCGCTCCCTGAGTTTTCAGGGATAAAACTAAAGGCCGGCATGCATCTGAAGCACATGGGAAGCAAATCCTGGCTGACTCAGCGCCTGGACCGGCTGCTGGGCGACGTCACTGTGCTGCACTCGCCCTTCTTCGGTTCCGGAAAGCTGGAGTACCACCTTGCCGCCCGGCGCCCGGGCCTGGAGGTGCGCGGCGTCGACGCCTTCGAGCCCGTCGCAAACCTGCACCGCTGCTACTTGAGGCAAGACCCGGTCTTCCTGCGCTCCTTGCTGCGCCTGGTGGGGCGCAAGGTGGACAGGCGCTTCTACTTCAGGCACCTCCTGCCGGGCACTCAGAGAGGCCGTGCCGGGCGTCGGGCTGCCTGCTCACACGTCCTGCTGCGCAACAGCTTCTCGGGAAAGTGGGGCTCCTTCGCGCAGCAGCAGCCACTGGCGCTGAGCAGCGTGCGGCGTCTGCAGCGGCCGCCGTCGAATGTGGTCGTGCGGCACCAGGACGCACTGGCCTATCTACGAGCACTGCGGCGCCCCGGCATTGCATCTACGCCGACCCTCCCTACATCTTCCCCGGTCGCACCATGAACTACTATGGCACGAAGGGGCGGGGGCACGACCTGGCCTTCCACTCGGAGCTCCGAGACGCGCTCTTCGCGAGCGGCCTGCCCTTCGTCCTGAGCATCAACGACGTGCCAGAGGCCTGGGAGCTCTACAGCAGGGCCGACTCCATCACAAGCCTGTGCTCGGGCAAGAACAGTTCCAAGCCCGAGCTGCTGGTGTTGCATCGGGGCAATCCTGTTGTCAGCGCAGGAATGGGTGGAGCAATCCTGCGCCCGACGCAGGATTGAGTGGAGCAATCCTGTGCTCGTGCTCGGCGCAGGATTGACCGAAAGGCGACTCTGCCAGTGCTGTAGCGAGAAGCAGGCCGCTGACGGACCTTCGGCGCTGCGGCAGTGGCCCGCACCAGGCCCGCACCAGGGTTTTTTCGGGCAAAATCGGAAGCTTGGAGCGAAGTCGGAATTCCGACCTCGGTGGGAGAGCGAAGTCGGAATTCCGACCTCGGTGGATGGAACTCCGGCCTCGCTTTTAGACCGAAGCCGCGGAGCCGGCCTCGCTTTCAGACCGAAGCCGCGGAGCCGGCCTCGCTTTTCCAAGTACGAAAGCTTGGCTCAAGCGCTAGCAGCTCCCTTGTCTCAGTGGTTAGAGCGCTGTCTCTGCACCTCGATTCCCACCGACCGGGCATTAATGAACCAACATTGCCCATTAATGAATCAACCCGTTCCAATATTGACTCACACTTGCCGAGATCTTAGAGCCCTGGGAGTTCGGCAGAGTTGCCGCATTAGACCCGGTGACGAAGCCGTTCGGCAGATTGGCGTATCAGGCGACGAATGCGTTCGGCAGGTTGCCGCGTTAGACCCCGGTGACGAAGGCGGTGACAAGTTCGGCAGGCTGTCGTGTCACAAGCCAGGACCTCGGCAGGCTGTCGCGTTACGAGCAAGGTCCTCGGCAGGCTGTCGTGCCACGGAACACCCTGCGAAGAACGAAGTTTTGCGGAACTCGGGAACTGGGCCGCTTTTGCGCACTTTTTCGGCCCAAAAGTGAGCGGTGACGAAGCGGTGACAAACGGCGACAAGCTCGGCGGGATGGAATTTGCCTGCTTTTCCGGGCTGAAAACGGAATCGAGAGCACAGTGAGCGTCTGAAACCTGATTTCGACCGAAAACGAGCGCATCTGGAGGCTCAGGCACCACACTTGCCGTCTGACACGAAAAAACGAACTTTTCGGAGTTGGCCGTTTTGAGCGCTTTTTGCACCACGGAGCGGTGACGAAGACCGGTGACATCGGAAAAACGTTCAGCAGGATGGAGAATTCGGCTGTTTTGCAGGGAAGGCCAAGCTGCCTGCCCACGCGCGCTTCTGGAACGTTGGCGGCACGTTTGCGGACCGTCCTGCAGAGCTAGCCCACTGCGCCGCGCGCGTTCGGCTGAGAGCGCGCAGCTTGTGGTTGATGAGCGGCATGTGCGGCTTGAGTCTTGAGGTCACGGATCTGCGTGTGGAGCCACCGTCTCGCGAGTGCCCGCTGTAGTTTCTTCCGATGCCGCAGCCGATTTTTGCTCATTAAAAAAATTCAGAATGGCTACCCACATCCTGGAGCGCCGCGAGCAGCTGAGGCCTCTGCTGAAGGCCGCTGTCGACGCCGATGCGCTGAAGCGGGGAGCCTCTTTGGGGGAGCGCCCGTGCTGGAGCGGCTGATAGCTGATGGGGTCGGGTCGCCGGCAGGTTCCCGGCGGAGGAGGTCGACATCCAGGACTGGAAGGAGATGCTGAAGCAGGTCCAAGAGCTTCGGCTCAAGCTTCGCAAGCGCCTGAATCAGCGCACGGCTCGCAGCTCTGCTCCCGCGGCGGCCGAGGAGCGCAAGAGCTGGGAGGCGATGGTTTCGTTCCGCGAGAAGCGCGAGGCCCTGAGGCAGCGCCGCATTTGCACGAGCGACATCGCATCGCTGGCCCAGATCGAGAGGGAGCTCTACGAGGTGGAGGAGCAGCTCGTCAGCAAGAAAATCGCTGAGCGGCTGCCGGTCTCGTTGGCGGCCAAGAGCGCAACCCTCGCCGCCTTGGAGCGGGTCGAGAAGGCTCGCAAGGAGCTGGATGAGGCCTCCAGAGAGTTCTGGCCGGTCATTAAGGACATGCTTTTTATGCCTTTTTTTTTGTGTGCTTTTTTTGGACCGAAAACCTTTTTTTTTCGCGTGCGCGTTCTTTGTCAAAACAATCCGTTTTTCGGAAGTGTTTTTTTGGCCGAAAATCTTGGGGAGGGAGGGGGGGGGAAGAATTTTGGGATGCGCTCTTACTCCGAGGTGGCTTGAACTTGACTTGCGTTGCTGCATGGCCAAAAGGACCCCAAAGAAGAAAGTCAAGAGGGAAGGGCGGGATCCGCTTGGGCAGAAACATGCAACTTGGCAGCCTACTGGTTACAATCGTTGGCCACCTTAGCAGCCGATAAGCAAGAAGCAAAAGGCCGTGCACGCGCAGCTGCTCTCTTTTTTTCCGGCATTGCCCCACGCCAATGGAAAAGAGATACAGCTGGACAGCGCCAGTGAGACCCCGTCATATGGCAGCTGCCAGGTTTGCCTCAGGCACTGGCGCTGGCTGCTTTCGCCTCAAAACAAACTGCGCGAGCGCAGTTTGTCATAAGCGCAAGCTGGTCCAACTTGCTGTTTAAATCACGCAGGGCCTCTTCAAGCCGCGCGTTCTTTTCAGCTGCTTCACGGAATTTCTGCTCAGCCTGGCGGAGACGGTCACACCAGTCCCGTGCACCCATGGTAGTGCTTTTGGTCCAGAAATCTAATTCTTTCTTCATGGAGTCATTGTCCAGCCGCAGCCGATCTACTTCAGCAAGCAACTCATCATGGTTTTGGAGATTCAATAGTTCTTCCTTGGTGAGTCGCACACGGATGTTGCAGGTCCGGTTGTTCTCGTACCTGGCCCAGTGCAGTTTGCAAAGATGTTTTGGGCAGGCTCAAGAACACAGTTGAAGAGATAATAAAACACATACTACAATTATTGACCGAACTGTTATTCCAAGCTGCCGTCTCTTAGTTGCAGTTTTGACATTCACGGGGTCGGCCTGCAGCTTCTTGGTGTTCTTCATCTCCCCCAGCTCGCTCTTTATTCTCACAACCATGGCACGCCCCCTTTGGCAACGGCGACGTGAAGTCAGGCGGCTGGAGCTTGACAAAGAAAGTAGCGAGAGTCCACCCCCTGCCCAGATCTTTTCAATGCTGGCCCATAAGAGTTTGTCAATGGTCGAAAGGTTCAACTACCGGCAAGTCAAGCTTTAGATCCCCAAAAAACAAAAAAGTCCAACTTGCACAAAGTATTCAAGCACCACAAGAAAAAAACTACCATTCGGGCACTGGGCTCGGGCCCCAAAAAGTCATTCCATTCGGGCCCCGAAAAGATAGCTGGTGGACACAAATGTGCAGATTGAAACGGTGGCCTCCAAAGAGCCCCTGGAGGAACATCCACAGCCAAGAGCCCCGGGCCCCGAAAAGTTGTTCGATTCGGGCCCCGATTCGGGAAGCTGTTCCATTCAGGTCCCGGATTCGGGCCCCGAAAAGTCGTATACCATTCGAGCCCCGAAAAGATGGCTGGTGGACACAAATGTGCAGATTGAAACGGTGAGCCCCTGGAGAAACATCCACAGCCAAGAGCCCCGGGCCGAAAAGTCGTTCGATTCGGGCCCCGATTCGGGCCCCAAAAAGCTGTTCCATTCGGGTCCCGGATTCGGCCCCGAAAAGTCGTATACCATTCGGGCTCCGAAAAGATGGCTGGTGGACACAGATTGAAACAGTGGCATCCAAAGAGTCCCTGGAGAAACATCCACAGCCAAGAGCCCCGGCCCCGAAAAGTTGTTCGATTCGGGCCCCGATTCGGGCCCCGAAAAGCTGTTCCATTCGGGTCCCGGATTCGGGCCCCGAAAAGTCGTATACCATTCGGGCTCCGAAAAGATGGCTGGT